TATAGAGAAAGGTACCATGTCTAGTGTAGTAATAAAATGTATTTCTTAATTAATTGTATAAAATTATTTTCTAAATCTATTTTTAAGTATGTTTATTGTCTAAGTCAAATTACTTTTTATTTTTTATTGTGGCATCGGATTAAATTGATGTTGGATTTCGAATTCGAAAGTCTCATCAATTCAATATCGAATCCAAATCCTAGCATAAATAGTATGTCGAGGAACGGCCTAGTTACTAATGATATCCGACTTATATACACACACACACACACACTTTTGGTTTCATTTTCCTTTTTTTTTTTTTTTTTTTGGTCGAGGATAGGTCCGTCCGTATTAAATAGGATACTTGTTAAATCAAATTAAATTTCTTAATTATCCTAAAATGATCTTTTTTTACATGATGAATTTGATGAAGGATCATCAACAATTTTTAGAATTTAGGAGACTTAATGATCTGTTATCACATTAACTAAACAACAACTAAATTATATTAAAATAAATTACAAGTAAATAGTAAATAAATTCTAAAAAACACTATAAAAATTGAAACATAAGACATGGATAAAATATATGGAAAAACCTTATAAATTTTAGATCATAATAAAATCAAATCAAAGTCCAAATAATTAAGTTCATTAGATAAACAACAAAACAATTAAAATTAGGTAGGATATTAAATAAATTTCACATAAACAGCAAATAAACTTCAAAAATTACGAAATTTTGAACACAAACTAAGGATAACCATTAGCAAGACGCATAAAAAATTCAAGTCAAAATAAGCAAGCCAACCTTGTTACAATAAATGTTAAAATTTAAAACTAATTACCTAGGGTCAATTGTTCAGCTCTTGGCCCCAAAAACTAAATAGGCCCACTGCCATGTAAACCCAAGACCAAATCCAGAGGCCCATTACCCACACTAACAGGCCTGCAGGGCTTTTTTGTTTTTTTATTTTTTAGACCAATTTGCTGCCCTAGCCCGCGGGCCCTTTACTTTTTTATCTTTTCGGCCTAAAATCTCTGATCCAGCCCAACCAAGAGTTTGGCTTCAGGCCTTCCTAGGTCTTACTTCACTTAGTCTTGTAGCCGGGCCCGACTTGCAACCCAGCCCTATCTAACTAAAACCTTAGCCCAAGCCCTTTAATTTTCTCCTTCCCAGCCCGAACTCCTCCTCCTTCTTCTTCCCCTTTGCTTTGATTTTTTTTTTTCTTTTCTTTTAAAACCATAACTAAACCCTTCTGTTCCTTTCACTTTCTTCCTGCCATCACTGAACAAACCTAAACCTAAACCTAAACCTAAAATTATGAAGACATGCTTTTATTTTTATTCAACTCACTAGCCTTTGGACAAAGTCGAAGCCGAGATTACCATAACTAAAAGGAAAGAAAATAACAGCAAGCCATGAAGATGGAGTACACCTGTAATGGCCTAAAGTTTACGAGGGAGAAATCACGAACTGCTGCATTTGCTGAAAACTCCAAGATGGCAACAACTATTTTTAGCTGTGAGGGAAACCAGCAGCACACCAAGTAAACAAAGGTCTCCCGTTGAACTTAATTAGGAATTCGTTCTCTCTCTCTCTCTAGCTTTCTCTCTCAAACAAAAAAATTCTCTTCTTCTGTCCCCCCTCACTCCTTTTTTTTTCCCCTAATCCTCCTCCTTATATTCTTCTCCTCCCTCTTTGATCCTGACCCTTCGTTTCCCGTATGAAACCTCTACCCTCTGATCTTTCTGTACCAAGACCCTCCTCCCTTTTGGTTTTTTCATATTCTGACGTTTTCTTTCCTTCTTTCTTTCTTTTTTGCAGCTTAGCTGATGGCGGGAAATCAAGGAGAGTAACAAAACATGGCCTGGGTTTTTTGTTTGAGAGTCTGGTACGAAAGCCAGCTAACTATGAAGAAAGGATCCAAAGTCAGATGCCAGCTCCTCACCCCTCATCTGTCTCTCTCTCTTTTGTCTGTTGCAGGCCAGTCCAAGGAGGAAGAAGAACAATAGCATCGTGGAGTAGGATATAAGCAACCGGACGACAGGTCGATCATAACTTTCATTCATGTTCATCCTGTCGTCCGTATGTTTGTTTCAAATTCATCCTTCCGTGCTGCAATTTCACTTCAATTAAATCTCTCGAGCATGTTAGTTTGGTCGTTTGTTCTTTTAAAGTTTTTTAATTACACTCTTATATTCCTAAATTTTGATTTTTGTTCAATTATACCCTCGATTGTATTTTCTTAGTGACTAAACTTTTTTTTATTCTTCTTTTTATCTTTTTTTATTTTCATATTTATGGTAATGTAATAAAATAAAATAAAAATAACCTAAAAAATTTTATATTTTCTATCTTTTTTTTTAATAAAAGTAAAGAATAAACTAAATTTTAAAATTTAAAGTTAAATGAAACTTAATCTAACAACAACAATAATAAAATGTAAAAATAAATATTCATATAAAAAATAAAATTATGGAATAATAAGAGTGGTGCAAATTTGTAGTTATGACATAAATAAAAGACACTAAAAAGGTATGTCAGAACTTCAATCTTTGCTAAAAGCTCTCCCAAACTACCGCACTCAAAGAAATAAAAAAAGACCAAATCTTCTAGCGGCATATGAAAAATTAAATGGATCATGTATGGAGAAAGAAATATTAACTGGTTTCTAAACAACTTATTTTTGACACAATACAATATGCCAATGGCAAGCCTTCAGTGAAATTTGCATGTTTTATGAGTTTTCTCTGCATTCAAAGCTTGCATAGAAATTAGGCATGTATGACCAGAAAACATATCTATTAAAAAAAAGAAAAAAAAAAGAATTTGCATGTTTTATGTTGTTCTTCATGTAATTAAAATTTATTGAAATTAATTTTTATAGTTTTTATTTCTTCTATTAACTTTGAATGAATTCAATGTATCCCCTACATATTAAGAAAATGTTTATCATTTTAGGATGCGTACTATAAACTCATTTAATATAGTCATGACATATAAAAATACTAAATTATGGATTTTATTGGAAATTAATTATACACCTATACATAAAACATTGACCATTCACTATTTATTTGTTTGAGATTTTTAAGTCAATTTCTCTTCAATAAATAATGTTTTAAAACCATATACTGTTCAAATAAACATAAGGTTTTTTATATTTTAATATTATTAATTATTACGTGAGTAAATATATATAAACCTAACGTTTTTCATGAATATTTAGCAAGAATATTTTTTATTTCTTTATTATTGTATAATTTTTTAGGTTTAATGATAAAAATTATCTTCAAACTATTGGTTATGGTAATTTAAGATCTTTACTATCAATTTTGATTTATTTGGATCATAAACGATTATTTTATGAGTAAATGTTGTCCTTTTTTTATTTTTTATGGTCAATTGATTGTTTATTTAAATGGTTAAATGGTGTCGTTTACGCATTCAACTTTTTTTTCTCTATCCTTTTTTTTTTGTAAAAGAAAATTAATATAAAAAAATATGTATGTGATAATGATAAATAATATGTATATGGTAATGATAAATACAAACAAAAAATCGTTCCGAGATACTATTAAATTAATCGAATTAATTGAATTGAACACACACATAGGCTATACTGTAAAAGTGTTGTTGGAATTACTTATAAAACTTATATTTTTCTAAAGCAATATTTTAAGCTCGATATCTGTCTCTTTTTTGTCCTTATTCTTGGTAGCAAACTTTTAATTTGATCAATCGCATCCTCTCTTTCTCTCTTTATTTAGTTTAATTGATTTAATAGTGTTTCGGAACAATATGTCACCCATATTAACTTTTATTATACTTTTTTAAAATTAATTTTCTTTTGCAAAAAAAGAAAAAGAAAAAGAAAACAAAAGAATGCTTAAACGATATCGTTTAAGCATTTAAGTTAATGATCAATACTTTAATTGTGAAAAATAATGGAGAAATGGTAATATTTGTCCGGAAAACAATACTTTAGGATTTAAATAACCCAAATTGATAGTAAAAACCTTAAATTACCGTAACTCTAACAATTTGAAGGTAATTTTTACCATTTAAAAAAACTAGAATGCTTAAACGACATCATTTGAACATTAGAATTAATAGTCGGTGCTTTGACAGTAAAAAATAACGAAGGAAGGATAACATTTGTCTAGAAAATCATAATTTAGGGTCTAAATAACTCAAATTAATAGTAAAAATCTTAAATTACGAGTAACTCGATAGTTTAGAGGATAATTTTACCATTTAAACCCAATTTTAAAAATTAATTGTTACTTTATTTTTCTAATACAATCTTACAGAAAAAAAAAATATTAAGGCATAATTTCTTGATGTTTTAGTGAAGCTCATACTTTAAATTGTTATAAATTTTTATTTAAAAATTCATGCTTAAAAGAAAACAAATCATGGTTTTTTAAAGGAAATTTATAGAAAAGATAAAAGAAGAATTATTCAAATACAAAATTTAAATTAAAAAATTGTAAAAAAATATATAAAAATTAGAAAAAAAATTTCTTCCAATTCTATATATTTTAATAGAGTCGTACTGAGTGCCTTTTACAAAGTAAGACCATCAAATTTGAGATAACTTTCTTTTTTTATGGTTGAATACAATTGTAATAGTTACCTTTTACAAGTAAAACCTTTTTCCCGAGACTCTACAACATCACACGCATATATACAAAAAAATTACTGACATTTTTATTTGTTTTAATATATATATATATATATATATATATATATATAACAACGATATGGACGGTGTGTTGCTCGTTACAAAAACATTCACAAGAATACCACATCAATATAAAAAATATCGATGATCATGTTATTTTTTAATTTAATTTATTTAATAAATAGATGCAATCAAATTCTATAAATTTTAGATAAATCGGATATGGATCCGAATCCTAACATACAGCATAAAATTTAGATATTTATTGGATTCTAGCGAGAGGGCGGATGAGTGGCAGGATGGGGAACTGAAGTGAAGGGTCTAATCATCATTTGTCCTTCTCTTGATGGGGTGGAGGAGGATCAGTGTGTATGTAAGGAGGGGTTATAGTTGCCCCAGTGATGCTCACTTCTGAAGATAGGTTTAAAGGGCGCTTAAATGGCAAGGATCCAGAGGGCGGCTGAGGGATAGGAGGGAGAACTGAAGTGAAGGGTCTCATCATCAATTGTCCTTCTCTTGATGGATCCCTAGGAGTTGGAGGAGGATCAGTATGAATGTAAGGAGGGGTTATAGTTGCCCCAGTGATGCTCACTTCTGAAGATAGGTTTAAAGGGCGCTTAAATGGCAAGGATCCGGAGGGCCGCTGAGGGATAGGAGGGAGAACTGAAGTGAAGGGTCTCATCATCAATTGTCCTTCTCTTGATGGATTCCTTGGAGTTGGAGGAGGATCAGTATGAATGTAAGGAGGGGTTATAGTTGCCCCAATGATGCTTGCTTCTGAAGATAGGTTTAAAGAGTGATTAAATGGCAAGGAGCGAGAAGGCGGGTGAGTGACAGGAGGAAGAACTGAAGTGAAGGGTCTAATCATCATTTGTCCTTCTCTTGATGGATGTCGTGGAGGAGGATCACTACTTATGTAAGGAGGGGTTATAGTTGCCCCAGTGATGCTTACTTCTGAAGATAGGTTTAAAGGGCGATTAAATGGCAAGAAGCGGGAAGGCGGCTGAGTGACGGGATGCACCGGAAGATTATTAGTAGCTTGAGCGGGCTCTGGAGACAGATATAAAAGCAAGTTCAGCAATTTGTAATTCCTAACGAGTATACTGTGGATAATGACAAATATAAAAAGAAAAGAGCAAGAATATCATGCCAACCTGGTTCACCTACTTCATCCCAACTTGATTCTGCTGTCAAGGCAGTAGGTGGAGCATTTTCACCGATGCCATCAGCCAAAGCAGAAGTGTTTGGCGTTGGTTCAATCTCTCCAACAGCCCTAAATATATCATTCAATACAAAATACCCTTCGTCTCCAGGAGCGAGAAAGAATGTTTGTGTGAATTTTTGCGTCACATTCTCATCCTTGTTGGTTATGGTCCCAGTTACAAGAATAATCACCCCTTGCCCATAAGACTCTTGAGCATTTACCGTTTCTGTCTCTGCTCTAAGATTGTCATAATCAAATGAATAGTTTTCATTGATTGCCTGCTCCAAGACAAAGAACAACGAAAACAGCCCGTCAACCTATGTCAGACTATAATAAGAGTTTAAGATTCCCATTCGAGCCAGTTACAGTTACCAGTACAAAAAAAAAAAAAAAAAAAAAGCTTCAAATAGGCAAGTGTACTCAATTTAAAATAAAAAATAAGAAAAACTGATATAAATAATAAAAGCTCCTTAAGGATATTCATGCTCGACAAATATATATTTTTTAGCCTTTATGAATAAATCTTTGCTAATCTACACATATGATGCTCTAAATACAACATAAACATACTTGCCAGGCAGTAACGGTTTTATAACCGCCATTTTTATCTGCTACGGTTAGCAAGCTTGAATCTTGATAAAATTGATGTAAAACTCCAGGTGATTTGTGCAGAGCATCGTAATATTGCTCCACGAAAGCATTGGCAACATCTTCAGCACTGGGAGCGTAGGCAGGAGCTGTTTCCTGCATCGTCATCTACAAATGAAATGGAATGCGCTAATTCAATAAAGGAAGCATACCAGTAAAACCAATTGGATAAACTAATAAGACAACGACTTTTATTTCAAAAAAAAATAATAATAACAACCTAAAGAGGAAAAAAGATATAAGGTAATTGCTGTCGTGCGTTGTCAATCGAGGTTTTTAAATTCAATAAATTCCAAAACAGATATTGATAACTGATCTCTGCGAAGAGAAAGCCATTCAACATAATATGTTTGGACAGCAACCAAAACGAAGAGATAACAAAGGTTACAGCTGATAGAGAATTTTAATTTGTGTGTAGTTAATTTGTTGTATGAACAGAAAAAAAGAAAATCCTAAACTTGAGATAAAAATTCAAGAAGGTTGCATTTATATTTGAGCATTAGATACCTTTATCCTTGACATTTCTTGGGAGAGTTCTTCCATTGAAGGGATATTCCACTTTTTAGAAGATGATGAAGGTATATGCATGGAAAATGAGTATAGGGCTTTTATATCACATATATATTCAGTTCATTTGAAATTGAAAGAAAAAAAAATGCAAGTTGTTTTTTTTTTTTTTAAGTTAACGAAGACTTCTCCCATTGATTATTAGGTCAACTTGCCATGGGAACACCACACGCTAAGCTGGAACAGTTTTTTTGTTTTTTTGTTTTTTTTTTTTTTATGTATTATTTTATTTGGGTCAAATTACAGTTGTATTCTCCACCTACCTGTTAGGTTCTCCGGCTTAATGGCACAAGTTAGATTGCATTTTTTCTTTTCTTTTTAATTATCAATATTTTAAGATGACCAAGACTTATCTCAATTATTATTAATATTATATCAACTTGCCATGGGAACACTATACCAAGCTAAGCTGGACTACGGGTGTTTGTTATTATTATTATTATTTTAATTTGGTTTTGTAATATTTTGGTTTGATTCTCGGTTTAAACCGAACTTAAAATCTCAAAAAGCTGAATCAAAACCGAAAAAAAATTGTTTTTTAATTAAAAACCAAACTGAAATTAATATTTTAATTCGGTGTTTTTATTTAAATTAAATAGTGAATACCCTTTATTTATTTATTATTTTATCAAGGGCGAACTATAGTTTTATACTCACACCTAATTGTTAGTTTCTACATGCCCAAGGGTGTAGGCTTGGAACGCGTTGTCCTAGCTTGTTTTTTAAAAAAAAAAAAAAAAAAAAAAAAAACTTTCATTTTATATTTTATTTATTTATTTATTTATTCAAGTTTGTATTAATATTATGGAAAACTGATCATTACTTTGTGATTTTTCCATGGAATTTTGAGAGAAAAAACATTTATGATATATTTTCAAATTTTAGACTGACATTCTCAATTTATTATAAATTAAAAAATGCAAATTATTTCTTTTATTGGTTGAAAAAAGAAAATGATGCTTAAGATAAAAGAAAAATGAGAAAATAACGGTCCTTATTGGGTCCACAAGAAGACTGAGGAAAAGAGGAAAATGACTAATAATTCAAATACTCCAACATACAAACATATATATATATACAGAGAGAGAGAGAGTATTATTGAATTAGTTTGTAAGTCATTCAAATTAAGTTTCTTCGTCAAATGATTTTAAAAACTTAAGAATGCATCATTGCAGGTTGGTTAGCTTAGGTTTTTGTAGTTGGTACTTATTCCATGAATGTTAGATTCTGTACTTATTATTATTATTATTTTTATTCTTTCCGGTACAAGGATTCTGCGGAGTTTGGCTTCTAACATGAGGTTATTTATGGAGTAATTTTAAAATTAATTATAACTTAATTCTTGCATTTTATTAAAATTAGTTAATTAATCCAAGTAGTATAAAAAGTAGCTAATTAATTTCTTGAGAAAGATTGACCATCTAAATTTTATAAATTTTTTTTCAATAACGTTTTTTTTTTCTCTCGTTCAAGTTTTCCTTCTCATCTACTTCTCTTTTATTTTTTTGATTTCTCAACAAATGAAAAATAAAGTAAGATGTAATAACTATAAAATTGACGAAAAGATTAAGTAATAAATCAATCTAAAAAAAAATATTATTACATATTTGGTACGTGAACTTCACAATTTTTCCATTTGAGTGTTCCCATTTTTTACATTTTCTATTTGAGTGTGAGAACTTTTAAATTTTTTCTAATCAAATATTCATGTTAAATTCATGCCAACTTGGATGTTAAATTGACACGTCAACATATTGACCTATCACTCACGTGAGTATGAACATTTTACTTTATTTCTAATCGAGAATCAATATTTTTTTTTAATTTGTGTCTGCATTTTCAATTTTTTTTCCAAAAGATGGCTATAAATTTTTAAATCTAAATAATATCCACTTCGCAACCTTACATAGGCCATATTAAAAATTAAAACAACAAAATAGATAAAAAAAAATTATTCAAATTAAAAGAGCATAATAATAAAAAAAAGGATAAATAGATCAATTTGTCCTTATATAATACTCAAAATATCTCATTTTTCCTTTAAGTTTTCAATTGCATTTCATCTCTCTTGAAATTTTTTTGAAATATTCAATTTATCATTCTAATCAAAATTTTTGACCATGGATAAATTTTTTGGGAATACCTCATTTATCCCTAAGTTTTCAATTTATATGTTTTGTAGGCTGTATTAAAAAATCAGCTTTGTCATACAATAAATTTGCTAATTTTTTTACCTTTTAAAATTAGTTGTGAAAATTTATTTGGTTTGTGAGAAACTAGAGGAAAATGAGTAATTTGGATTATATATATATATTCTTTTAAATTGAATAGATGGTCATTAACTATTGTTTATTGTTTTAATTTTATTTAACTTCTTTTATCTTCTCCAAAATAGTTTATCCATAACAGTAATAGAACTTTCTTGCTGTCAATAACATAACCTTTCTTCTTCTTAAGCATCAATATTATAAGTTGACGAAGACTTCTTCTAATTACAATTATGTCAACTTGCCTGGGGAACACTTTAACCCGTTAAGATGGACGATTATTTATTTATTTATTTATTATTAAAGACAAACCACAGTCTATACGTTAGCATGTATATTCTTATGTATTTTATCGTGTCCAGGTGGTGTCAAGGACTGACATGAAGCAAAGGTCGTAGCAGTTAGAAAGGCAATGGAAATTAGTGCATCTTCAACTATATAGCTCAGCAGGTTACATGGATTTTTGAGTCAGATTCTAGTAATGCTATTTGGTGGCTCGCAAACAACACGGACAGGCAGCCATGGCTAAAAAGATGCTATTGATTGCATTTAAGATTTACAAGAACAAGAGAGGATCGAGACGTCAATGCTCTTGCTAAGATTAAAAAAGACAAAAATTAATGATTTAGATTTAACTAGGACGTGGCCCGTGCTTTGCTGCGGGAAAAGATTATCTAGGTAAAGTTATTATTATTATTATTATTATTTTGCTTTGCATACAAAAACCTTTTTATTTTCTTTTTAATTTCTATCATGTCACAAAGTAGAATTATGAAATTTCATATTTACCCTTCATTAATTTGCTTTTAATTTGCTTCTTCTGTTTTTTTTATGGTCATTTCCTTTTGCTTTAGACAAAACATTTAATGCTCTATCATTCCTTTTTTCTTTCCCCCTCTTTCTTTGTTTTCCAGGCAAGAATTGCAACAAAGAGTAAATTATAAATCGGTCCCTGTTGTTTTCACAAACAAATCAATTACTTTCTATTTTTTTTAAAATTGATTATTTAATCTTATTTGCATTTTCTGATATTTTTTTTTCCTTAAACATATAGAAAAGAAATAAGAAATAAGTGAAAATATGAAAAGATTGATGAAAAAATAATATGTTTTATAATTATGAAAAAAAATGTCGTAATCAACACTCGGTTAAAATAATTAAGTAATTATTTTTAAAATTAAAAAGACAAATTAATTAATTTCTCTAAACACGATTATTTAAAAAAAAACACCATTTATTTTTTGTTATGCATGGATTCTTAAAATAAAAATTTATAATAATCTAAAATGCAAGTTTTAAATTATCATAAAGTATAATTATTTATTTTATAGAATTGTATTGAGAAAATAATGCAACAGCTTAATTTAAAAAAAAAGGCTTAAAAATTTTAAGATTTAAAATATTTTTTTATAATATCCATGAGAAGATGAATTTTTAAAAGTATGTATATTAGGTTTATATACATATATTTTTTAAATAATAATTATTATTAAATTTATAAAAGTGCATAAAAAACTCATTTAAAAAGTATGGCACCACTAGGTGTTGTTTTTAAAATATACATTTTTTTATTATTTTATTTGAGAAGAATTGATTTCAAAATATTTATTTTAAAAAAGTTAATATTAAGCGTGTTTTTTTTTTTTTTTGTACATGCACAATCAATTTGCAACTACAAAAATTTATAAAATTAATTTTGATATTTAATTTCATTATAAATAATATAATAGAAATTTTATCATTCTTTTAGCGCTCAAACATTTGATCAAATGAATTGTACATAGCACAAATAAAAAAAAAAAAGCACACAAAATCAATACGGATGTATATAGATTTGAACTACAATTCAATGTAGGAAAAACAAAATTCTTAAAAAACAAAACCAACCATCAAATATAATTTTTTGAAGGAAAGCATGAAGGCAAGTTTCAATTTATCGAAAATACTAGAAAAAAATATTTATAAATTTAATTATTTATTTTATAAGACTCGTATCAAGAAAATAAAGCAACAATTAATTTTTTTTAAATTGCATAAAAATTTAAAGATTTAAAATAAATTTTTATAATATTGATAAGAATATTAATTTTTAAAAGTATTATGTTAGGTTTATTATATAGATTTAAAAAAAATAAGCATTTTTTAAAAAGAAAGCATAAAGTGTTTTTAGACTACAACTTTAGACACAAAAATAAAATCATTATATATATAATAAATAATATATAATATTAGAATAAAAAACTCTATTTAAAAACTATGGTACCATTG